AGAGAGAGAGAGAGGTGGGGGGCTGGTGTGGAAAGAAGATATGAGGAGGAAATTCCAAAGAGATTTGAGCTCAAATATGATTAGCGCATCACTGGTTCTGAAGAGTTTCTTTGAGATTCAACCTGCAAATTCTTTTGATTATTTATGGTTGCACAAGATCAAGGGTTTCTTCGTCATTCGACCTGAACATTCTTGTTTCACTCTACATGGATAAATAGCTGGGACTCTAATTGGCTGTCTCTATGTTATTTCACCTTTTGTTTTACCATTTTTTTTGTGTAAATAGAGTTTTGGGTTCTGCCATTAAGTATAGCTTGACGCTTTCTTGTCTTTTATGTACTTAAATATTTTTGGGGAAAAAGCTATCTCAGTGAAGAGATATTTGGGACTGTAATTTTCTCTCGCATTGGTATTTGTCTTTTCTTTGATGGATTTTTTAGTAAGGATTTTGGAGTTGATTAATGGTCGTTGTAATGGGTTTTGGTGATAAATTTTTTTTTTGGTGTTGTTAGGTTGGTTTTTGTTAATGGTTTTTCTATATCTTCCTGTGAAAAATTGTAGTAATTTCTTTTCTTTAACATGAAAATAGAAAATTGATTACATCTGCAACTCCATATTATACAAACAGATCACCCAAACAGGTAATTGCATGACCTGGGCACCATCCAGAATCCAAACAGCCCTGTCCCATTAACTGAGTTTTGGCATAACAAGGGTTTAGCATAATCAGGTGATGATTCAAAACCGGAGTTTGCATGCATAGGGAGCCAAGCGAGGCAATAGAGAGAAACCATGAAAGCTCCTTGATATCTATAGCATCTGCTTTGATTAAGCAATTATTTGATGCAGATATCAATTGTATGTTGTTCTGTTGTACATTGCAAAATCATAGAATGATACAATGATTACGTGGCTTTCTTTAGTACTCTGTAGGATATATATGCATGCACACACGCACACAAAATACAAACTCGTAAAGCAGTACTACATCACCAAATCCTGAAATAGAACTAATGTTAGTCACAGGAAGTCTTGATCGCATGAGGATCAAGGGTTCCTAGGAATGCTAAAAACGTTGTTTTAGAATGCAGTACAAGCTGTTGTTCTACCATACTCATACAAGGGAAAAAGGAAAAATGTAATACTCATATATATTGCATAGAAAGAAAATTGAAGTCATGTGAAAAAAATCTACGAGGAATGGAGAAAAATAAATTAGTAACTGCTATTGATGTTTACTTGTTCTTTGTAAACCTCAATGGTAACTCTATTTTACCTGTATAACATTGCAATGGCCATTATTCATGTATAAGGAAGTTTGATACACTGGAAAAATAGTGAACAAATGAAGGAAATTAGAGTTTTGGGATCTATATTGCTTGGGCATTTGTGATCGTCTTGTCTGACCTTTTACTATCCTACAAGAATTGCAGGTCATGAATACCCAGAACTTTACAGAGTTTATCCAAAATTAAGGTCCATGATCAATTTTGAAGGATGGAAATTTTGACTTGTTTTGATTTTCCAAAATTTGGACTTTGGACTCTGAACCTAAGCTTAGAAATGTATATTGGGGCTGAGTGCCCTCCTACCCCATTTTTAGGCCGTGTATGGTACCGGAGACCGTTTAGTGTTTGGTTTTTATCCTGTTAAAATACAGACACTTGTCATGATGTTTAGTCATTTTTTATGCCATCAAATGTCTCAATCAATGAATCAAGTCTTCCTCTACATGGGATTCGACTTGAGTGGCCTTTCAAGACTTGATCGGAGTCTATGTACCATGGTACTAGTCCAATTTGCTGTTGCCGAATTCTGATTTTCTTTATCTTTAGGTGCTTCTTGATGTGGCCTATTCTTGTTGCATTATATGGTCATAAGGTTTGTTCATTCCAGGCTTTCCTGTCTAAATCACTTTCAACATTTCACCGGTGCAGTTGTGATGTCCTTTCTCTCTTATATCCTCTTTAAGTACTATGTGCTCTGGCCCTACACCTTTTATAGAACCTGTATGATACTGATGTGCATCTATGTTTGTCCTTTGATCAATGAATGCCTGGAGCCTTGTACATTTGCTTGCTAGAGCTGTCTTGAACTAACCTTTACCATGGCTACAGGAGTCCAATGATTTGAAACTCAATGCTTTGTGGAAAAGCTTTGAGACTGCGACTGCCCGCTGTAGTGAAATTGAAGGCCAGAAGCTAGCAAAAGTTCAGAAGAAGGTCAGAAATTGAGTGACCAAGTAGTACATCTATTAGAACCCACCTTCTATATTTGGCTCCAGAATGTTGAGCTCAATCCTTTGTTGCTTGTAATTTCATTCAGGAAGATATTTCAAAGCGCATACAAACTATAGAGGAGGAACTGGGAACACTTCAACTCTCTGAAGTGGATATGGCTCGCATAGATGAAAAAGAGAAGCTTCTGGTAATTGTAAAGAGTGCTTCTACTGAATTCCATTCTTTTGATAAATTTAATTATTAGTGTCCATTTACAATTATTTTCTCTAATCATATTCCAGGAATCAGAAGTTCAGAGACGAACCTCCGAACTTGCGCAAAGAAATTTTGAATCCAACATACACCGCATAAAGACTGAAATGTTTAGCATTGATCAAAAAATAAAATCTCTTTATCGTGAGAAAGATGTGATGGCTAGTGATGCAGAGGATAGAGTGAAACTGAATCTGAAGAAGGAAGAACTAGAAGGACACAAGAGAAAACATGCGAAAATGTAGGTTATCTTGTTTCAGCTACTCATAGTATGCCTGTGATGTAGTATGCTTCCTTATTTTCTTTGGCTAATCTCATATTTACAAGTTGATTTTACTATCTGAATTGTACAGCATGGAGGAATGCAAGGAGAAAATAAGAAGTGCACTGAAAGGGAGGCTTCCTGCTGCCAAGGACTTGAAAAGGGAAATCAGCAGTGCACTAGGGTTGTTCATGAACTCTGTGTTCTTCTATTTTGCTAACATAAAGGATGGTGTAGAAATTAGTTTAACTGTTCTATCAGTAAACAACTTTTGATGTCATTACATGCAATTATGTAGTTTTGTATGGAAATTGGATGTCTAGCTTCATGATTATGTCCTTTGATACTAATGCCTGCACTTTTAACTTGGTTTCAAATGTTTCACTTCAGGATTTAACTTTTTTGCAGTTTTATATTGTTCTTGGTTTGCCCTTCTTGTCTTCTTTAAGTAAGGGAAAGACTCTGATGTTTTTAAGTTGTATATTATATTATATTGGGTAGGTTGAAATACACTATGTTGGGACTGATTTTGTTCAGAATTTTATTTCTCTTGCTAAATTGGACACATAAGACATTTTTTTGAGGCATCTATTTAAAGCCTATCTTCTACGAACTAAGATGAACTATGATTCTCATTTTAAACTTTTCTCTTTAGAGTCACATATTTATGCTTTTCTCTTGTGCATCTCATATATACATTACTGTGCTTGTTTAAATATCTGCATATATAAATCAGAGATGAGAAGCAAAATTCATACGTGATACTTAACTGTATAACATCTAAGTTGATGTGTTCATATTGTATAGATTGCTCATATTTCTCTTTCTTGGATTAGAGTAACATCATCTGAATGGATTTTAAGTTTTATATGATCTGTGTTGTTTCTTCTGTTATATTTTGAAGTGCATATCTTCGAGGAGGCTCGTAAATAAAATAAGGAAAGAAATCACTTATTGCTTATCTGCATTTTGTATGATTAGTAAAATGGAGATGTATTTTCTTTGTAGGTCTCTTAGAAAGGAATATGATGATTTAAGCTTGAAATCTAATGAAGCAGAAAAAGAGGTAAAATTAGTAGAGATGAAGATTCAGGAGACAAATGCTAGTTTGTCCAAGCTCCAGAGAGACATGGAAGGCAGGTTTTCTCATGAATGATTGTTATTGCTTATTTATTTCCGCAAGGCGCAGATAGTTTGTATTGAATAAATGCATCTGTGATGCAGGTGTTTTACAGCCTTTGTTCATTAGCCATCCCACATATCTGATGGGACTCCATTTGATTATTTATGTGATTTCCAGCTTCTTGCACTTGCACTAATGTTGTTTTAAATTAATCATGAATTATTTCATAAAGCAGGTTTATGCATTTTTGAAGAAGAATGTGTTATGCATTTATGTATGGCTAACCGTGTATTCTCTTCCGTAAAATTGTAATGTTGTTCCTGCATCATATAACTGCATTAATGAGCCCTGTCACTAGGAAAGATTTATGGCTAGGAACATTGCCACTAGAATACTAATTCCTGCTGTTAATGAGCATTAAGATTGATGACGAGATCCCCTTTGCAAGAGTAGTTGGACAAATGGGCGAGAAGATGGTATGGTGTCCCTGCTTTAAATGGCATCTTAAAGATGAAGAAACTAACTCCAAACAACATCCCTCAACAAAGGGCAAGTAAACAGTCTCATATGGTATCGTCACACTAAGGGACAATTCTGTGAAAGTGCTTTTACGAACACCTCATCTGAACCAGAGTAACACTGAGTATTGCAAGAAGATATGGATCATAACGGTTCCACTGAAGGTACAAGCTTTTTCGTGGTTAGTGACCTTAGATAAGGTTCTTACGATTGATCATCTTTAACAATGACAAATCCCATTATCGAAACAGATTGCATGATGTCTAAGGGAGAAATGGAAACTTTTAGACATCTATTTCTTCATTTTTATGGTAAGCTATATGGTCGTTCTTTATGCAATGCTTTGGCTTCTCTTGGGTCACTATAGCTACTATTGATGAATTAATTTGCAAATGGTTCTTGCCGACCATTCCCAGACTTAGACTCTTGGACTAACCCTTTGGAGACCAAGCATGTTTAGTGTACTCTGGGGATTAGGGCTAGAGCATAACATAAGGTCTCTTGACAGCAGAGCCTCTCAATCTTTTTTTTTTTGGAAACTGTTAACTCTGTAAAGATAAAATAGCGATGCCCCCAAGGAGGGGCTAGATACAAAACCAACTAGGGCAGTTGACCCCACAGGGAACCCAGAAAGAAGACTGTAAAATCTACTACTCCTAAGCGAAGCCGGCAGAACCTCTCAAATCTTGACAATCATGCATCGAGTAAAGGTTCTGTTTTGTTCATGGGCACTCGTTACAAAAGAATTTTGGGGATGTCTTTTGCATAGTTTACATGAATGGGTCCGCAATAGTGTGGAGCTATCAGAAGAGAACCACTCACCCATCTCTTTGGAACCACCATTGGACGCTATTAATTCAACTTTGATGGGTGCCCCCCTGGGCAGCCTTGACCCTGCTGGGGTGGGAGGGGTTTTTAGCATGACCAAGGGGAATACGCTACTCTCTCTGGACCCATTTGAATCTTTGTTGTGTCTCATGGGTTTTTGCAGTTTTGATCCTAGGTGTGGCACTCTCATTGTGGAAGGGGATTCCAAACGTTTTCTCTTCGGCTCAAGATTGTGATAACTACCCTTGGAGTTTTCATAATATATTTGTAGGTTTTGCAGATTTTTCTTCTAGGGTGATGGTAACTTTAGTCATATATGGATGGAAGCCAATTTAGTAGTAGGCATTTTAGAAAAAGGAGTTAGCCGAAATCAGCTGCTTGTTGCCTGGTTAGAATGATGAATACTGGCACCAGGATAAAGTGATATAGAGTTTTGATTCCTTTTTGTTGTATTCATATTTTGTAAAGCCCATATACTCATGCTTTTACATTTTGCGTAATGAATAATAAACTGTTAACGATAGAAAAAGAAGAAGATGAAAAGAACTTCCTCTAGCCGCGTTTGTACTGGGTCTTAGTGTGTTTGCTGCTGGTAGCTCTTGACTTAGTAAGTTTGCTTTAAATGGATTGTCTAGCTTTATCTTCTAACATGTGGCGTGGTTGTTGTGGTATTACAGTTCCTTTCCTGTGGAATGATAAGGGTCATGTGTACAATCCTCGTAAGTGTAGAAACGTGTTACCATAAGGTGTTTTGATGATACCAGCTGCTATCTTTTTCTTAAAAAAAAGAAAACTAAATATGCCGTGGAAGACTTTATTAGATGCAATGTGTATGGCACTTATGTTTGGCTCTGTGATATTAGTTCACAAGGGGATCTGGAAACGAATGAGTGTGTATTTAACAATGATAGAATTAGTCAATATAAATGCATAGGTAGTGTATTTTGCTGATTACATTCTTTGACATATCCGGTTGCTTTCCTTTTGGGGTCTTTGATGTGACGTCGTGCTTATGATCTTCTACCATTAGCTCTTATTTTATCAGTTGGCTTCCTATATTTACCTAGAGCTTAAAAATTTTGGAATTGTTTTCATAGTTGTGGTTCTCTTACTGTGAAGGACTTGTTTATGCACACTATTGTTCAACCCTATATTGGTGACACTTCCAGTAGTGTTCTTTTGGAACTAATATGTATTTGCTCTTTTTTTTTTTTCTGGCATTTCTTTAATGTTCAAGGGGCTTCCTTGATTTTACCAGCTCTTTATTTTGTGGGAGTGATCAGATGTCCATGCTTCACTCTTTGTTAATGTTGACTAGTTTGTTCTTATCCTGTTTTTTCGTTTTGTTCTGTGTTCATATAAACACATGCCTGAACTTGGTGAGAACCTGGAATATAAGCTCATTAGTAGACAGATACAGCTTCTATTGATGTGGAGGACCAGGGAAAGGTGTACAAAAATGTTAAATACATATGTGGTAGTTTATAGTTTTGGACGTATGGTTTTATTATATCTGATATTGTGAACTTCTTATGTCTTTCCTTATTTATTAATTTCATCATAGCTTGTCAGCTTGGCCTATTATATGTAATGTTGTAATGACAGAACCTTGTTAAATTGCAGCCAAGAAGCGATTTTTTGATTCTCGACTCCAATCCTTAATTCACCTTTCATGTGACCTTGATTCCTATCCTGTAGTACTACAAGAGGCTATGGAAAAAAGAGATGTCCGCAAAAGGTCTTTGTCGTCTTCGCACTTAAAAAAATATATGTAGATTGGTTTCTCTTGAGAATGAAAAATGCATGGTATCTACTAACTGTTTGAGTTATACAGCCAGCATGACATTGCTGATGGTATGCGGAGGATGTTTGAACCTTTCGAAAGAGTTGCACGTGCAAATCATGTTTGCCCATGCTGTGAACGTCCATTTTCTCCTGAAGAGGAGGATGAGTTTGTTAGAAAGGTAAGGTGTCTTCATTCTAAGGCTCTACTCTGGCAATCCAGTGCTATACTTGGTCCTATAGCCTAGTGGGTGTTTTCTTCGAATGGAGTTTACAGCCCTATATATAAGGGGGCTTTTACAGTCTTGTGGGGTGGAGTTGTTTTGCTCAACCCCTTAGTTTGCGGTTCCAATCTTACTCCCAAGCAAAGAATACATATGGGCTTGTTGTATGATGCCCAATTTTCTTGCATTCTTTTCTGTTTATTAGGCATTTGTTTGGTGTGTCTTACATGTTGTGTTTTATATTACAGCAAAGAGCAAAAAGTGCAAGTTCTGCAGAGCGGGTGAAGGAGCTAGCTGTGCATTCCTCTGATGCAGATGTAGTCTTGCAGCAGTTGGATAAGCTTCGGACTGTACATGAGGATTATATAAAACTTGTAAAAGAAACAATTCCCTCTACCGAGAAAAAGCTGAAAGAGCTCGAGGAAGATCACGACCATAAGTCTCAGGCGCTTGATGATGTAATTATTCTTTCATAGTCTTTTTCCGTTATTATTCTCATTGCTTCACCTTTGCTTACTAAATAGTATAAATTTTGAGGGGTTCCTATTGCATTGCAATAGTAATGAGTTTTTGAGTGTGTTTGTGACACCAAGAGAAATTTCACCATGGTTATAAGAAGGCGGAAAATGTAAGCATTGTTAAAAATGTTTATTAAGGTGATAATTTCAGTACAGTTGGTTAAGAATGGTATGATTTCTATCCTAAAACAAAGTTTGTGGAAAAAAATGATTGGTAGAGAAAGTTGGGATTAGCACAAATTAGTAAAAGGGTAAATATCAAAAATGTTTTTGGGAAATGGCCGAGTGAGGGTGCTTCCATTGTGGTTGTCGCATGAGCATCCTAATCTCTTCTAAACTGTTATTATTTGAGATTGGGTCGAATAAAGAATGAGCATCAGCTCAAGCAAAAGCAAATAAGTTGAAATCTCAACAAACAACTGAATGTGTGATACAAAGAGAGGTTTGCCACTGAAAATGAATGGTGATTGTATTAAGCAGGATTATATTCAAATTTCAAAAGATATGGATTTGAAGGTTAAGAGTCCTAATAATCAAATCTGTTTCCGGGATTATCGACTGTCAAGATGGAAGATAAACTGCTTAAGATCGCAACAAACTCAACAGATCTTGACAAACTCTATCTGGAGTCTATAAAAGCACTCTGATGGATGGGAGAAAGGCCTCTTGGATCTTCAGAAACTTTCTCATATCTTTTGAACGTGTTGAAGCACAAAGCAAATCTGTGGCAGGAAGTAGCACAAAGCATTGTTCTTGGAGTAACCGTAGTGTAAACTCATCCATCATATATCTCAAGGTTGAGGCCACAAAGGTTGAGCTGCATTATTGTAAGTACGCTTCTTGTATCCTGGGCTGACTGATCAAGGGTATTCCTTGCTTGCCCAATTGAGCTAGGATGTAAATGAAGCAGATGTCTTTTGTGTGAACCTGGAACTCTTCCTGAACTCGAATTTAATATTAATAAAGAAAATTCCAAATTGTCTTCCCATTTTGTTGTTTTCTCTGGTTGCTTGGAGTTCATTTCATTTTACATTTTGCATAGATGCAATTTGGGGGAATTTGGTCTCTGGTGACTCCACTAAGGACGAGTTCTCCCTTCATCCTATCAGTGTAAGTTTTGAAAGTCCAGAGCATCAGACCCAGTAGGAGGAGACACGATGATGACTAGCAGCTTCTTCATGGTCGGTACCCAGGTTGTGTCATATGTTTGTAGGTACAAAGCCAAAAATGCAAATATCTTAAGATCTAAAGATCAGGGCACAAAGCCCATCAAATCACCACTCTCAGCACAACGAAGGGTGTCAAGCGTGCGTGAGGTTGTAGGCACAAAGCCACATAACCTGGCCTCTCCAAAGCCACAAAGTCGGGGCAAAAAGCCCACGAAACACATGCTCTTTACTCGTATGGCTGGTCCTACGTCTATTCCACTGAACTCGTCAACTCGGGCTTGGGTTTATCTGGCTACAACTTCGCCTATTGGTTGAGTGGGCTTCAACCAACTGCTGTGGTTTCGATTCAACCATGGACGGGTCAACGTGATGCATGGAGATACAACCTATGGACAGGGAGTGAACTCTGGGTCACTCCACAACGACCTCTTTGAGAAATCTTTCTGCCCGGGAAGGGCTGGCCAAAGGACTTGTAAGCCTGAACTGTCAAAGGGCTCACAATAATGGCCCAAGGGGCATGTAGCCCACTTCTCGAAAACAATTATCAGGCACAAAGGCTGCAATCAACCTGAAAGGCAACTATCCCCGAACCCATAGTCATCTTTAAGGTTGCATCTCTCGACTATACGCTCAGATTCCGACCCTGGGCAGCACCAATGCAGCACCCATGAGGATGAAACCCTATTTTCATCACTGGGTACAAAGCCTGCTAAGGTACTATCCACAAACTTGGAAGCCTGGATTACCGGTCACGGGATCCATTATCCTCAGCTGAAGGTCAGCCCATTGGGTCATGATGCTTCAAACATTGCACTTAATAGTGCGTGTCAGAAACAAGGTCACTGAGGGTGAGAGGTCCCCAATCCTACCCATGCAGGACAAAGAATTAAGGTGGTCTTTAACCATAAGGGTAAACCGTCCACTACAATAATTACCTACTATAATGGACGCCGTCGATGGATCCCTTTTAGGATGCTCCTTGTCCTGGTTACTACTCCCATACAGGGGGCAACATGCGAAGCAACTCTAGCCCAAATAGGAATTTGGCAACCGGTTATGAGAGACGAGATTCCCGCGTGCTCATGTCAGGGCTGTCATGCACTTAAAAATGCCCGGTCTTACGTAAGAAGCGCATGGGGCATCCACATGTTGTTCTGTGGTCGCCCTTGGGCTGATTGCTATAAAAATCCGGAGACAACACTGTAAACCTTCAAAAATGAAGGGTCCCTTAGAGTTTTCCCGAGGTTTGTATGACCATAGCTAGGGGAATAACTTTGCACTCAGTGGTTCTAGATACCGTTGTCAAGACCACCACGGTTAAGAGGGGCTGTAGAGTAGTGGAGAGGGGGCATGCCGTCAAATTGATTTATGAGCACGATAGACTCCAAAATGCCCTAGAGGACCTTGGGGTGAATCGCAAACTAATTTCAGTACATATGTAACCCTGCCCATGGTTTCTCAAAGAGCTATAGTTAAAAGCCATCTTCACCTCGAAACACAAAAATTGGATAGAGCAACCAACTGCTCATCTACCTGCCTATGGCACAAAACATTCGAGGCAGGAGGCCCCTCGAACAAGCCCCTAAGGCCTCTGTGCTTGGTTAAAATTGCAGGAGTGTTAGAGGGGTTACCACGCTGTTTGTGACCTTACAATTACGTCCTAGGGAGGTTCGAGCAGGCTCGAGACAAGGGGCACCTAGAGCATTTGTACTTCTGGGCTTTATTAACTAAAAGCTGAAAAAGATAGAACACTCACCCAAAGTGGTAAAGTTGAGGGGGCGAAGGAGCCGTAGCAGTGGCCCTAGCCATGACTTCTTGAAAGAAAATTGCTTCCATCCTTTGATAAGCCTGGCCTTAGGCAGGCTGTGTCTTTTAACATGATTAATGTCACTACTTGGAAGCAACAGAAAAAGAAGTCTCAGGATGGTTAAGTATCTTCTAAGGCAGCACAGCCGGACCCTGCTAAAGACAATCATGGGGTCATGGTGCTAGCTGAGCAAACGAAGGCACTTCATGGGAAAGCCAAGAAAACCTAGAAATTCAATATCAGTCTACGAGCATGAGTAAGGTGAAGAAAGTTGATGCTCCCAAGGGATAAGGGCCACCCATAAAGGGGTGAGCTCGGTTGCGCCGGAACAGGTGGCCTTGGAAGAAAAGGGCGAGTAAGGGCAAGACCTGTGTTAGCTCGAAAATGAAGATCCCTTGGTAGTAAATGGAAGTGCAAAAGGATACAGAATAAGCATGTCAAGAACAAAAACAAACCTGTGGAGAGGAGAAGGCAACAACATTTACTATTGATGACCAGCCTTCAGAGGATGACACGAGGATGGGGTGCAACCTAATAGCTAAGAGGGAGGGCTCCCCTCAAGCTGCCTTAGTCAATCCCCTCTTGTAAGATATGGAAGGGGAAGCTATTCTGAAAAGCAAGCAATCAGGGGATGAATGATAACCATTGTAATGGTGGTTGGGACAAAACCCACCCCTAAACAAGAAATCAATCTCTAAAAGCTCTTGACCCAAAAGGATGCTGAGGTAGCTGATATGAAACAACCACAATCCTCTGTATTTCCAAAGGTTCACTTCAGCATCATAGCATGGCACCCTTTTACCTATACACTTAGCACAAATGATGCCACTTGACACGATTGTGAATCCGAAAGATGTAGGGCTGAGAATGGGTCGGATTGGGTCCATATCCATTGGAATCTGGTTTTGGATCCGGAAAGTATACATGGGATCCGGATCCGAATTCGGAACCAATCGGATCCAAAATATTTGGATCTTTATCCAGATCCAAAATACATGGGATCTGGATCCGGATCCCGACCCAATCAGATCCAAAAAAATTATTTTATATCTATAAAACAATACATAACCAAAAATAATTATTTTATATCTGTAAAACAATACATAACCAAAAAAATAGTACAAAACAAAAAAATACATATATGTATACAATAGAATAATATATAATATTCTAATGACTTGGGTCAGATTCAGTTCGAATCCACCTGTACTCATATATGATCCATATTACTATTTGGATCCAAATTTTTGATCCAGATCTAACCTGTCGAAACCAAATTTGATCCATACCCAGATCTGGATCCATACTTGGATTTGGATAGGGTCAGAAATTTGGGTTTCGAATCTAAACCGGGTAAATTCTTTGGCCTACTTGGAAGGCCTCAGAAGTTTGCATTTACCAGGAGTAAGGGTATTAGAACTCTATCGGAAGCCGTATCCTGCATATATGGACAAGACTCCACTTCCCCCCATTTATAAAAGACTAAAGATCCCCAAATTCGGTGGAACTGGGTCACTAGGACAACATGTTGCCCAGTTGTCCCTGTATCTTCCGGCCGACACAAATGCCCAACATGAGTATATCTTGGTTAGGCAATTCGTAGAAACCTTGTTAGGAGTAGCTTCTACTTGGTATTCTTGTCTCCCATCCCAAGTCGAGTAGCTCTTGGAGGCAGCTTGAGGATGCCTTTTATGCACGAATCTTTAGTGTTGAAAGGGATGTTCTCTTGCATGAACTTATGGACACCAAGCCAAAGCCTTACGAGCTGGTATTCCAGCTCATCATGAGATGGAAAAACCTCAATTTTATTCAAAGAACTCCCATGGGGAAAAACAAGCCATCCATTCCCTTACTAGCTATTACTCCAATCAATTTAAATGATAAGACATCATTATCGAGAGAGTCATGCTAGCAAATGACTCAAAACCGGTCATAGTCGGTAAGAATAATCAAAGGGAAACTTG